AAACAGAGGTTTAGGAAGTCTATTGCTATATGTAGAATAGAACTACACTCGACGTCGTTAGTTACTCTTCTACACATGGAGGTACTTCGTTCAAATACTGTCTCAACCATTTCATTTTTCATATTGTGACTCAGTACTGATCAAGCTCGTGTCACCCTTCAATGATCAATAATGGGGTAGATATAATTGTGTTTCCCGTTAAAACATAATACAGTTTACAGTCTACTTAGCATACAACAAAGAGCATCAATTTCTATTTGAATGTTAAATTAAATATTGGCAACTTGATGTTTGTGGGTTAACGCTTATTACCAACATACTGATCGTTTGATGACTAAATCTTCATGGTGAGGGCCCATTGTGCTGAATCGTTTTCATACTCTATCTTTTGTGCTGACATAGCTTATACGTTGAATTGCAGAACGTTTTTGAGTAAGTTCCACCTCCGAAGCTTTTTTAGTAAGAAGGAAGGCAACCTAAATGCGCGCGTGCTCAAATTAGCAACAAACACGACACATTTCCCTGCAAATTTAAATTGTAAACCCCTTCAAACGGCGACCACGATCTTTCAAAACAAAGCACACTTCAGAAACACATATTAGTTTCATTTCAGAAAGTGTAAAGTATTAGACCATCTAAAATCTAGATTAAAGTCGTTGTTCTGCTCTAGTCACCTAACTGAACACATTCTATAGTTCTCACGGTCCTTTCTAGCAGATATACAAGACAGGCCAGAAAAGAGATACCCAGTTTCATTGACGCGTGCTTCAGACAAAGTAATTTTTGCAATGCCATAAATGTTCAGTTTGTATGTCAAAAGACCCCCTTTACACTGCACAAATGTAAACCTCCTGTTTATTTATCCAAGCAGTCTTCTATGCCTGGGCAGCAGATCATTTGATTTTATGCTTTTAGATAATTATGTCTAACTTGACTTCAGAACTATTTATTCACTAAATGCTTTGAATTCCTCAAAGCAATTAATCTTTATTACCAAAGGGCATCTTTGATTATTATGGTAATTATCCTTCAATTTTGTTTTCGAAAAGAAACAATCTTTACCTTAAACCTGAACTGGACGTATCTAACTTTTCAAATGGAAGCTGTACAATTTCCGGATTACGACCTGGCCATTTCAAATTCTAAATTAAAAAAATTGTGCACATTCTGACACTAAAAATGGAATGGCTTCAGTTTCTTCAATTTCTATTTCCCTTGGGAATAAGTTTACTTAAAAAATTTAGAACCTAAGAGATCTATCTTTGAGGCAGGTGGTAAAAGCGAACTCACTGTAAAAAGGGGTCTGTTAACTTAAGGTTATACATTGCTTTTCGTTCGCTTCGATGACAGCATGTTATACAACAGTGCTAGATCACAAAATTTTAGAGAATTCTGTTTTAACTTTGTAACATTTAAAAAATAACAATTATTATAGATCAGAAAATCAAGCGAAAAATTAGATTTCCTCATTGGGCACCACAGATGAATTACACAACGTTTGACTGGAGCTCTTGAAAAGGGACTTGTTCAGAGTGTTTTCTCAGTAAAGAGTTTTACAAGAGAGGATCTCTCTCTGTTACTATCTCATGTAAAACAAATCGTTTCTTTGAAAAAATCCGTAAAATCCATGAGTGTAATCATTCGAATGAAATCTACCTAGCCCTTCCTTTCTCTAGTGCTGTTTATTGCAAACTACTGTTGAATCCATCAGTGTGACATTTTAAAATGAAAGCCACATAGTGAGCCATGGACGTTCCTTAGTGCGATTTACAATCGTGGCACAGTGCATTGTGGTGCAAATAACTGTTGCATAAAAAGTAGACAATTATCAATAAACACGTAATTTCCAAAGTGAAGTGGAATTCTCATATATTCTCAAATTGACATAATAAAATATTGCCTATCAATTACAACTAAGAAAATCATAGACTGACTAAAAGTTGGGAGATTGATCTTGTCAGAAAAACTGTCTTAGGGCTATAGAATAAACATGTGCCTCCTATAATCCTATAACATTACAAGCTATCTAACATTAGTAATACTCCCAGTTGTTTTTTTAAATGTCATTTCCCGTGAAGGATATGACCACAACTTACAAGTCAAAAAAGAAAATCGCCTAACAATTTTTTTTTCATTAAGCCCCCAGCACTTATTAGGGTATTCAATAATATTAACACACCACACATACAAGATTCGTACATGAAATATATCTAAAACTCTTATTTCTGGCATCATCGGTTGCTGCATAAAAAATTATTGTTAAAATAAAACAAGCTTAATACAGTGTTCTTATACCACTATGCTATATAAAAAACTATACACAAGTGATTTAGATCTATACTTGAAGCTAGTTTCTAATGTATTCCAAAAGACCAGATTGTCCATGTACAGTACATTCATGTTTCCCCTCCCTTAGCAACGAAATTTTAGTGCCCCTAAAAATTTCCCTTAGCAACACTCCCTCCCCCTAACCCCCTCCCCCACAAAATATCTCTATTTGTACCTCATTAGCTTGTGTTTTGTTTATTCGGTGCTAAGTGACATGATGTTCTCTAGGGTATTCAACCTTTACCTTTGCATAACCTATGCACACAAATAAACTTGAATAAGACAAAATATGAAAGAGTTCCTGCGAGCAATATCACATGACCTACATTAGGAAAACAAAACATCAAGCTGAAGAGGTCTGTTGGAACTCTGTTTGAAGTACCAATTTTTTTGTTAGCTAGTGTTTATAACATGCTGAAGATGCCTGAACACTTAGGCCACAGATATGGCTACAGAGTCACTGATTGATGAACGTAAATGTTAAATATTTTTTCACATTCTTGTCAAGTACAGTCAAACTCCGTTAATATGGACACTGAGGGGGCCATTGAAAATGTCTGTATTAACAGGGTGCCATATTAAGCAGGCTGAATTTAGAGAAAATGTAAGCGATTTCCTTCCCCAGGGACAGAGCAAACTGTCCGCAATAATGAGGTGTCCATATTAAGTGGGTGTCCATAAAAATGAGGTGTCCATATTAAGCAGGTGTCTGTATTAAGTGGGTCTCCATAATAATGAGGTGTCCATATTAGGTGGGTGTCCATAATAATGAGATGTTCGTATTAAATGAGTGTCCATAGAGCGGGGTTTGACTGCATTGAACATTGTAAAAATTTGTTGGTTGATGTTGTTTCCAGTTGTCTCAAATACACAGATTATGACAAATCATCCCAGATCTGGGTTGTTGCAGGCCCTTAATTTCTTCCTCAAGGAATACTGTACATTCATGTTCATCCAAACCAATTGTTTTTCTACAGATCTTTAGCTGTTTCTAAAATTTTACAGAAAAAACTCGGAACTCACAATGATGGTCAATGATAGCCTTATAGTTTCCAAGTACATTGACAATAAAAAAGGAAGACAAAATGAAGGGGAAGAATGGAGATTTGGGACAAGGAGGGTAACTAAGGGGCAACAAGAATGTGCCACCTATCTTGGTGACAACTTCTAGAAATGTTTTGGACAAGAAAAACTTGCAGTTTCTCAGGCTAAGACAAAAAGACATCACTTTAAAAAACCTGTTATAGTGTTGCTTTTACAAAGCTAGGGGCTTAAACTTAAAATTTTCACTTTTTTGGCAAAAATACATTATAATAATTCAAAATTTATCACTCTTATAAAAATAATTATGCACTATTATGACATCATGCATTTGATAAGTTGCTCAGCAGAAAAACATTAGGAAAATACAAACTAGGAAAATAGAATACTAAAATCTGTTATCACAGTGTTACTTTTACAAAGCAAAGGACTTTCAACTTATAATCTTCATACTATGTTGTTTATTTTCTCCATATTATAGGTGGCATGACACAGCCATTAGCCTGTCTTGCATTGCCGCTCCCACAGGCATAGATGGAAGAGAAAAGACCTGTACGATGTAACCAAAAGTTTTTTTGTCAGTCACCAGTGGATGTGAAAAAAAAAAAAGGATGAAAACTTCCGAAGATGACTGGATATGAAAAATGAATTTTATCAAGATGATGTGATTTTACTGTGTACTTCATAGTGAATTCAAATTGATGGATCCAGGTATCAAGCAAGCGGCAATTTCATTGAAGCAAATAGACCAGTAATTTTCTGTGTCGTTTATCATGCTGTACAAGGTGGTTCCAACACACTTACTATAAAGACTTGATGAATTTCTACAGCGCAACCAAATAAAGGGTAAAAAGCATTACTTTCCTGTGGTACTGTGTTGTGGAAGATGGTTTTAACTTTTGAATCTACAGATGAAATTCTTAAGTGTAACCAATCCAATGAAAGCCACCAAGCAGTTTTCTTTGGTATTGGAGTATTGCTTGCATGCTGTATAGCAAGAATTCATGTTTGATGCTCATTTTTGATAATGAGAGATAATTGACAACACAAAAGAGGTGTAAACTTCACATGACTGTCACTTTTGTTTCAAATTTTAAGTTTGAGTAATTTAACCTGCCATCAAAGGGGAAAGGTGATAATATTATTGTTGTGGGGACAGACGAAGGATAGGTTGGTGATCACCAGAACTGTCCAACACCCAGCATCCACTGTTCTCTCTCAAGTTGTATTGTATTCTCTGCAGATTTCATATAACTTCAAACAAAGAACTTTGAGGTCTGCAAACAACGTTCATTCAAATATTTGATGGAATGACTTCAAAACGCAAGTTAAGACTCTATACATCTGACTGCCACATTTGCACATACTCTTTTGAACATTTCAACAGTTTGATATATTTCTTTTATAAATCTGTTCACTACATTACATTTTAAACATCAAATATTTTTTCCTCTTCACAATCACAATACTTCTTATTTAAGTGCCAGATCAAAATCAATAATGAATTTGTTAAGCTTGTGAAGGAAAAAAAAACTAACAAAAACAAGAAAATTTAGTGTGAAAAGCAACAACAGGTTCAATCATAATCCACATTTCAACAATCTAATTGAATAAGAGAAGAATTTACGTTAGGAAAATATCGAATCACTAACGATGGCTTCAGCATACAAGACTGAATGTTTTCGAAGAGAAAAGAATTAGGCAACTTAAATAGTCAAATAACAAAGTCATTCAAGAAAGGAAAAAAATTTCTTTCTATGATAAAAATTGACAAGAAGCTTCAAGACTGTCTTTATGTTAGAAGAGAGGTATCATTCAATATCAAATAATAATTTGCTACACTTTTTGCTGTAATTTCACTGACTTTGTTGCCCCAACTTTAAGAAATTTGTGGTCAGCTCATCTAAGATTGTCCTTTCTCACATCTATACATTTGAGACTCTAATAGCTGGGCTTGCCACATGTCCACATAAGAACTGTCCAACAGTTTCCTCAACAGTCTCCATCCTTGCCGATAATTTGTCATGTTGATCAAACATGATTTCCGATACAAGTGACAACTCGCTGTCTGTCATAGCACTGTCCACCATGGATGCCTCCGAACTAGCAGCAAGCATAAGCTGTGTGTGCTTGAAGGTTACCCTGTCCAAGCTGTGATCTTCTTCTATGCAGTGTCTCACCGGGTTCATGAGGAAATTAATTATGTCCCAAAGGACATTTTTAGGTAGATCTACAGCTGGGTGCACTATATTGTATCTGATGAGGGAAATGAATGCTAAGATTCTTCATGCCTTGATGCACAATTCAATATCCTGTTGAGTTCATTACACATGTACATGGCAGATGAAAGACAATTATTTTGCCTCCCTATGTTCAAATCATTTCATTTACTGATAAATGTAAAAATGCTGCAGATGTTTGATGTGATTGGTTCTAATAAGCTATTTGTGGATAGGATGAACGGGTTGATGTTATGAATGGGATGATAGTACAAGTAGTTGTCTTCTGATTCTCAAGTAGAGTATATTGTTCATAGCAGCTTGTAAAAGAATACTCAACACAACAGATTGTCAATCATTCTGCATGTACAAGGAGTGAGGTATTATGCACTAACATATATATTTATCAATAACATATTATTTATCCTTACTCTCCCTGGTCAATCAAGAAAACTTGAAATGGAGTTGTGCATTGTAAGTGTCACAATGCAAACAAAATCTTGTGAATAACAATAAACAGTTAACATAAAACCTCTATTTGAGGATTAAACATGGTGGTCAGTTTTATACAAGACGAAACTAAGAATATGCGTTCAATAAAACCTTCTTGTCACCTGCAAGAAAGCTTCAAGGAGACATCATACAAGTAACTGTGCATCTGTAAAGCTTGAAGTTAGTGTGTATAAACCTCTTCTCAGCAAAAATAATTAATGGCCCAAAAATTATTACCTGTACACAAGAGCAAGGATATTAAGCATTGTCGCAACATCTGGATGATCATGGCCTGAGGTCTTTTCTAGATCTTCAAGAGCTTGCTTGCACAAAGGAACAGCCACTTCATATCGACCCTAACGGCAGAAAAAGGACTGTCAATCCTCTATAAAGCCCCTGAGGGGGCTTATTTGTTTCAAGAATGTTCAAGGGCAACCCAGGTTCACTTGGTACTCTATTCATAACACTAGAAGAATCCAACTAGATTTACCTTATACATAATCAGTTTCCTGACACAAAGCTTTGATATTGCTATTCATCACGAAAAACTACATCAATGTCTCCATCCGTCTGATTTAACACATCAGTATAATAATTTACTCTAAAGAACATTACATCTTTAATTATTAAAGATGTAACATTCTTTAGAGTCAAAATCCTACCTGAGATGCATACTGTATGACCAAATTGTGAAGCGTTCTTAACCGTGCTGGGATCTCATAAACACCTGACGCACTGGCTGAAGTTGCAGATGATGCTTGACTTAACGTTTCATCTAAAGAAACAGGAAACCAGACTTGCATTATAAATGGTATAAAACTCCAAGTGATTTTGGGAATAAAAGATGTAATCAGCCAGGGTATTACTTTGATTTTTTTAAAACAAATTCTCCTGGTTGGTACTGAGAAATGAAGATAGTACACCTATTGATGTTTAGGGTGTAGTAAACATCCTCAAGATTGTAAATCTTTCCTATATGGCCAACATTTATCTAAGATGTACATAGTACCTGGCCTGTCACAACTGAATTTTGCATAAATGTCTTAGCAACGCTGTAAAAGGTGCAAGTCTCTGTATGATGGACACTTAAAAAAATGAACCTGGCAAAGAGATGGGGAGTGGGAGTTCACTGTATATGACACAAATAATAAAAAAAATTTTACACACCATCAACTTCATCTACTTCCTCTTCATCTTGGGACAGCAGATCGATACTAATATCATTTTCAATCCCCTCATCCTGTTACAATGAATTTAAGTCTGTCAGTACCAACTTCAAATAATTTGGAGTTAATTAAGCTCAACTACAGCAATAATATGTACAAAAATACCATAAATTCAACACCCAGATAAATAAATGACAATGATGATGACGATGATGAGGATAGTTATAATGATGATGATGAATATAACAAGTCAATACAAAGATGTATTTCAAGGAAGTTGCGAAAGGTAAAAATGAAACTGATAGTTTCAATCCTATGGTCTCAACTCTAGCCCACCAAACCACAGTAAATAACAAAAAAATGGCAAAACTTACATGTTTATCCTAATTTGGAATAGTTCCAAGAAGTGCGGGAAACATGAAAATGAAAAATATAAAACAAAAGCCCTTTACTCAAGCTGTGCAACAGTGCACGGGAGAATGTGATCAACACATGATTAATTCGAAGAAGATATCAATAGAATCTACTAACTTACATCATCATATTTTTTAATTGAATTCATGAACTCCAAATGTTTTTTCTCTTCCTCAAGTTGAGCTACTTTTTGTTCACTCTCCTGTAGTTTCTGCTGAGTAACAGAGAGTTCCTCCCGCAGCCAGGCATTTTCTTGGCAAAGCCGTCGCACTTGAGCTTTCAACTTCTGCTTCTCGGCCTCAACCGTACTAAGATGGCTACACAATGCCATCATCACCTGACAAAGGCAGATTTCAAAAGGAGAAGAACAAACTGCATAAACTTTTTAATATTAGCAAGGAGCAAACATCAACCCTGTCAAACCAAAGAATCAATTCTTGACACATTTAACTCACATGTAGTTCTTAGTCTTCAATGGGTGGATAAAATCCCATAGTGCAGACAAACTGCCACAACCTTACCAATATTCTTGCATGTTATTACTTGTATTTTGAAAAAGCAAAAATGATTAATTAAAAGTACTCTAAGGACCTTCACGGCACTGAAAAGTTGAGCAACCACCTTTGTAACATCCTACTTGATTTTTGCCTCTGAGTATGTTTATGATGTTTGTAAACCAATTTTGACTCTTCCTCGTTCCCTTTTTATTTTAAACCACCTGCCACGTTGGCTGTACTTGAATCTTATCTCGGCCAAATGTCTCTCAGAAAGTCAATACAGGAAGCGTCTACCTACCTAAAAAAGTTTGATTTTTCTAAAGGCCAAGTAGTGAAACCATGTAGATTTAAACCTGGATAAAACAGTCAACTATTTTATAGAGGAGACATCTAGAATGCCGTATATCATACCCATACCACAGTTGGAAAAATGTGAAAGTGCAACTAGATGCGATGACAAATTCATTCAACAGAATAATTTTCATAAATTTGTAAATAATTCTTTACGTCACTTTGAGAAAATTTAAAGAATTTTATTGCTTTTACTTTCTAATGATAAGTAAGTTTTGAAAACTGCCACATCAAATGATTTCAAGTATAACACTATGATCTTGTGTAATAAAAGCAATTTGTTAAAATTCTTCAAAACTTTGCATTTTCCATTAATTTATCTTCTTAAACTTTATGACAATAATTAAAACTACTTTAACTATTCAAAAATGCCACTTCCTGTTCTTGGAAAATGGTTAACACCTGTAATCAGCTACAACTTTTGGTAAGAATAAAAAAATGTTTAATCACACCAATAAGGATATTGGCTCAAAGTATTGACTCATTACATTGTTTGAATGCCTCAATAACAGTGCAGAATTCAAGTGGATTTATAGTCATTGATATCCATGTATAATATTAAAGAATACAAAACTTTGTCCTTTTAAAATAGTTATCGCTCTATTTTTTAAGGGCAAAAAACATATCTAAAAACAAATGCACTGTAATTTCCTAGTGGAAGAAATTAGTGGTATGCTGACCATGGGCTATAATCAATCAAGGGTAAAAACCTTATGCCACCTGATAATAATCCATTGTCCAGAAAAATAAGAAAAAAATGATTGTTACCAAATGAGAATAGGTAATAAAACTTGTGCCTTGCCTTTTTAATAGAATCATATGGCAGCTAACAATACTTTTCACATTTTTGACATGTTCTAAAACATGGGTACGGCACAACAGCTATGCTCAGTTTTTCTAGCATTCCCTTTTCGGCTTTTGATTTGTAAATAAAATAAATAGAATTCTTATAAAGACATTTTCCAACTGTAATTGATGATCTATCCATCGGGTCAGTCCAGTTATTTCTGAAATCTCAGGTAGTTCCCAACACTAGAACAAATTCCTAGTAAAACTTCCTAGTAAAACATGAGTGAAAAGGAAGCTAAAAAGCTGGGAAATGATGATCAATCATGTCTTATTTTTTCAGAGAAAAAAAAAATTGATTAAAACAAACAACAACAACAAAAAAATCTTAATTAGCAAGAATGACCATGGAGGTTTGGCACAATTCATTAACCAATAGAATAAAAAATATTCTTTCTGCAAGGTCTCAAACATAGTTACTGATGACCGCTCAGAAATATTTAAAAAAACAACACTTTGGTTTACAAATGTTTTTTGCATATGATGCTCTACATGATTAACTGTGCCAATTTTATCTGACCAAGAACAGAGGAAATTTTGAATTTGCACATAAGTTAAAAACTATTTTTTCATTATTTTTCTTACCGACTTTTAGTCAGAATTCTAGAAGGTTCTAGAGGGGCATAACTATAGATTTTTACCTATTAACATATCTATTTCTACATCAGTTGTTTTATATCAAAAGGTGAATATTCCACAGAAGTTCATCTACCGTAGCCTCACTTTACCGACAAAAGCTACATTAATTTTCAGATTAATTATCGACAATAATGATAAAATCGATCTGTACGTTGCTGAGCGAAGTTTTCATGATCATATGAAAATTGACCTGACTCATCATATCGTTGGTTGAATGAGTTTTGATCTAAACAAAACATCAACGATAAATTTTAAACTGGCGTTGAAAACAACTTTACACAAAACAATCGAGTCTAAAAAATTAGCTTTCACCCTTTAAACTTGAGAGTTGACAGTAACCTAATTTCTTCAGTTCAAGTGCATGTAGCAAAACCGGTTGTTACCAAGTGCATTAACATTGAAATTAAGCTTGCATACCCTAGATTTTTATGACAACAACCATATTTTCACTTCCACCACGACGAACACCGCAAAGAAAGCTTTTTACTTAAGATTCAATTTCATACCTGAGCCTCTCCTAACCCCAATTCGATCTTCTCGATGGATTCCTGGATAATTGAGCCTTTTTCTCTCTCCAGTTCCGATTCATCTTCATTTTTATCGCGATTAGAATCGAGATTATTCAGCAGTCCAGAGTGTTCATTTTTCAACGTTTCTAACCCTCGAACAACATTTTTCGTGTTGTTGATTATTTCATCTTGTGTCCACTTTCGGTTACCGCTCTCAAAGTTTGTCATATCTCGTCCTGAATGGAATTTTACGTCGTTCAGTGGCTACGAAAATTCAATAGGATACAAAATGGCGTCCTCACGAGTTGTCGACGCGGTAACGCGTACCGCAAGTTTGTCTTCCAAGATAGCGCTTCAACTTCAGCTTTGCATCCAAAACGCTGTTGAAATGATTAAATCCATATTTTGAGTGTCTTACGAACTGATCAGCCCCTTAAGAAGGAGGAAACACACTAAATCAAAGAGCCAAGATTACGCCTCGCCACTTAATAACCTTCATTGCATTGTACGTGTCCCAGTCCACTAAAACGAGACAAATCTCTTCTCTGGCAGAGAGGGGTGGTTAAAACAAAACTGAAAAGGTAGGCTCCCCAGCGGGGTAGCGGGGGAGCTCGAATGGTGGCAAAAATCTAAACCTGAAAACATCCCTGGGGCTTCCAACAAAATCCAAATAAATTCCCTGGACCAAAAGTTTAATATTCGCTGAACTGCGCTGCCGGGACACGAGGACACTACCCGGAATCTTCGCAATTCAGATTGTGTTAGTTGAATACCCCAAAAAATCCCTACTTAAAAACTTGATTGAAAAAAGTACTTGCCAAACTTTCCTACCCCAAACAAACCCGGAATCGAAAATTTCGTCCCCCCAAAAATCCTTCGATCATCCCCGTCACTTGAAATCCGCAGTAACCCCCCCCCCCCCCCCCCCCCCCCCCCCCCCCCCCCCCCCCCCACCCCCCCCCCCCCCCTCTTCTTTCCTCCCTCCTCCTTTTTCTTTTTTTTTTTATTATGCATATACTCTAAAAAAACAAAATAAAAAAATACAATCTTTTTTTTGTGTTTATCAAAAAAAGAAACAAACACCAACCCAAAAACAAACAACA